AGATTCAATGAGATTTGTAGATTGAACGAGTTGACTTGGGCGAAAGTCGAATGGTCTCGAAAGGTGTACTAATACACCTGTGATTGATATTTTTGAATTGTTCATAGAAGACGTTCAAAAGTACGAATAGAACATCTAGACCGAAGGCAACCAAGTGACAATTCTTTCAACAATTAATCATTTCGACAAACTTTAAAATATAACTTTAAAATATATATTCAATGAATGAATTCTGAATATTAATTTTTCAACAATATATTCAATAATGAAAATACTTTGTGAATTTCTGTTTTAAAATAATTCTATATCTAGAATATTTTCTAGATTGCATTATTCAAATTGTCCTGATTTTTAGAATGAATATTTTCAACGATCAATCGTCTCGACGAATTTTGCAGCGCGAAGCACTGTGAAAATTCTTTCCCCGAATTCTTATTTTTAAGTCGCACAAGCAGCAATTTTCAGAATGAAAGCAAATATCTTCAGTTCTAAGATATTTGTCCAAAGCTATCCTGATATTCTAATTTCAGGAACAAAAGTTTTTAAAATATTCGTTCGAAACTGTCCTCCACTTTAAATTTCCAAGATGCAGGTCTGAATATTTTGAATTTTAAAACGTTCGTCCAAAGTTACCGCAAATGATATTTCGCATCTCCAAACTCTACTGTTATTTAATTAACACCATCCTCCGTTTCTTAAAGAAAAGTTCTCAAAAGCAAATATCCAGAAACTGAACTCTGACATTTATTCAAAGTCGTGACGAATTTTCCAAAATAATAAAATTTCCCAAAGCGTCGAGATATTTATTCGAAATCTGCTGCTAAACCGAAAACCAAAACTTGACTCACGAAATCGAATCCTCGAAAGGAAGTTGAGTGGCCATTGAAACATTCGCCCAAGAGCTGCCCTCCGAATTCCCGACGTTCCGAATAAAATCCTCAAATGCAAATTCCTGCATTCCCGAATGTTGAAATATTTATCCAAATCAGCCCTTGAACTCCAATTTCCTAAATCAGATCCTCGGTAGCGAATTTCCGCAAACTGGATACTGAAATATTTATCCAAAGCTACTCTCCTGAATTTCCCGACAATCCTAATAAATAAAAATCCCCTAAAGTAAAACTCCTATATTTCGAAACGTTGAAATATTTACGTCCAAATCCGCGTGGTCTCTTAATTCCCTGAATAAAATCCTTTCCACGAGCTGAATATTTAATCAAAGCTGAAATCTCGAATCATTCAATCTCCGGAATAAAATTTTCGAAAGCAAAATCCTACATTCCGAATGTTGAAATATTTATTCCAAAGCTGTCATTTTTCTAAATCAAATCCTCGAAAGCATTCATTTAAAATTGAAATTATCAAAAAGTCCTGAAGTTCTAATTTCCTAAATAAAATTCCTACGTTTCTCAAATACGTTGAAAAATATAATTTATCCAAATTATATATTTATAAATTATACGCAGTATGTAAATTTATATTATATAAATTTATAAATATATAATTTATCCGAACCTATGCTCTTGCATTCTAATTCTTTAAGTCAACACGAGAGCGACAAGATCACAAAATTTTTGTAAATTAATTAATTTGCAAAGCCTCTACAAAATTCTCTAAACGAAATGCGCGACTCCCATGCAACCGAGTGTTGCCAACATTCTCTCGAATCAGCGTTCGCGAAGTTCCAATTTCTTCGATAGAATCGTCAAAATCAAATTTCCACGAACCGAGTGTCGAAACACTGATACAAAGCCTGTATATATCTCTGAATTCCGGCGTGCATCTTGGAAATATTCTTCGACGAGGGAGGTAGGGGGGGATATTTCGAAGGATCGCAGACTGGAGGAACCAGGGAACGTTAATGACGATCTTTCGGTACGGTTTCCGGAATTCTGCACACGGATCTGCAGAAATCCGTCGTACCGGGCATACACAAGCACGCGGTGCAGACATTGCTTGCGCTCTTGATTTCTGTCGGAATTCGAGCAAGAGACGCAACCATCGAATGTTCTATCTCAACAATGAGACACACATAAGCCACGTCTGATAGCAAAACTTTTAGAAACAGTTGCTACGTTTGTTTCGAAACTGAAAAACAAAACCTGATGTTAATGATGTTTATATATTAACGAGTTGTATGAAATTGCAACTGTGTGCCAAGGATTGTAAAATATTGCAAAACACAATGGAAAATCTGACGGGAAACACTGAACGTTGAAAGTGAGTTTCTTGCTACGATGCTGGATGAAATCTTCTTCTCATCGTTTCCTCTCCCGTTCTGCGAAATTGCAATACGAAAAATAGATAATTCTTATCTACGGTTTTTTTTTTTTTTTTTTTTTATTTCCGTACACTGTAACTCTTTCATTTCCGAGTCGACTTTACCAGGCGTAAATATAACGTGTTATCTAATTGCTTTCATCATGCTCTCCAACATGCTCCAACTTTTTAATACAATGCGCTTCGCGGAGCAGTCAGAGTTTGCCTGTTCGTCGGGGTTTCAATTCGGGGCGTTGTATTTTTTATAAACTATATTGACTAGCCAAGTAATCAGTTAATCGAAGGCGATTGAGAAATGTAGAAATTGGTGTATGATATGCCATTTTGTGGAATTTTATGGCTATTTTTTTTTTCAATAAATATCTATCCACGTTTATCAGAATTTAAGGAATCATTTGTATTAGAAAATTTGCAAAAAAAAAAAAAAAAAAACACTGAATGCAACTGAAAGATACAGAAATTTGTCAATATGATCGTGGAATTTATAATTTTTCTATTTATCGACGTTTGATTTTATATAATTTCCTTCTCAACCAATTAAAGGTGATTAAAAAACATAGAGGCCCGACTTTTCTATTCAACGAGACTCGAGTCTAAGAAACTGCAGACGACACAAACTTTATAATTGATAATTCTTGCTAACCAATTATCTGTCATTGAGAATGATTATCGACGACTGAAGCATAAAAATTGTACCAAAGATATTAGAATGCAAGGAATAAAAAATAAAAAATAAAAAATAAAAAAAAACAGTTCTCGATACAACAAAGCAAGCATTGTAAAACTATTCTAAAATTATAAATTGGTCATTTTTACTATTTTTGATAGGTCCAGCGTTTTAAGAAACACTATTTGGAAGATCAAATCCTCGGAACACCGAAACAGCCGGAAATTTTCACTTTGAACAGTGGTTCAAAGTCCTGAGAACTATGCACGGAACAACACACAGCTAATAATAACGAATGCCATTAGCATTGACACGTCCTGACTATAGTATAGAGTATCGTAGAATAGTATCATAATTATTAACGTCGATGTAGGGCGCCTCTCCGCCGTGAACGAGGAGCCGAGTGACAAATGCGTGTTTTTATGCAATACCGTGTCACATCCAGTTTTGATTTATCTCTGCAACTTGTTTTCGATGTTCAACAAATATCCGCATACTTGTACGCCAGCTTATGCTAGAACTATTACGTAACCGTAGGAATTAAAACGATTTCTTTTATCATTTGCTCTTCATTGACTCTTCTTGAAACTTAGAGATAAAGAAACTTCGTAACTGAGAGTGTATTATAAAACTTCTTGAAGGAACGACAAAATTAAATGTAATAGTTTTTCTTTTCTTCTTCTTTTTTTTTTACTTTGGAACTTTTGCTTTTTTTTCAATAAATTTTCAAATAAAAAGTTTGAAGTTGAAAATTATCAGCTACTCAATTACTTAGCTAATAGCTTGAGAAAAATATTATATTACGTTGTGAAAAAATTATTATATTTAACGATGAAGAGCCTTTTCTTCCACGACATTGGCATTCATTAGATAATATTGTAATAATATTAAAAATTTTCAAACTAACAGATAATATTGTAATAATATTAAAAATTTTTAAACTAATAAAATAACCTTGAAAAATATCACACTAATAGACGATTACTGCATTTAACAACGAAGATTCTTTCCTCTTTCAGAACTTAGGTATTATTATACTTTAAAAGAACATCATTGTAAAAGGTGCACACAAAGAACGAAAATTGTTCCTCTACTATAATTTAGGTAATATTACATTTTGAAAAATGTCATTAGACATGTTACAGAGAAAACAGACTGTTAAAATTCACTTTATCATTTTGTCGTCGATTATTATAAGCCCCGGCGGGTAGGATAAAGCACGAGTTGCATAACTATACAGCAGGATGCAGTCAAAAAACTAGGGTAACTGTCAATTGCTAATGATGAGTAATGTCTTGTAGGCGTTGCACGGTGTGTACACACATCAAATAAATTAACGGGAGTGATTAAAGCGTTAGTTGCTGCGAAACTTTAAACGAAAAAACCAACGCAAAATACCGTGAATAAGGAAATTATTCCTCCTGGTAATTTGATCGTCGACAAAAAAAAAATTTTGAACTGGAGAACGCTGTTTTCATGTTTTCACAATCAAGACAATTTCAATCGCAACGTGATATTTTACAAAAATGAAAATTTCGCGTGGCAGTAGATTATTAAATTCTAGTTTCTAATTAATTTACAAATACCTGACACTGGCTACATTAGTTGAACAATATTGCATCGATAATGTAATGATAATAATCTGCGTCATTCGTGTTAGATACGATTTTTAATATTTGAGTCTACGAAATATTTTCCTCGTCATTGCCTGGACGCCAAAGTTCCACGAAATTCGAAGAAATTAAAATTATTTATCGAGATACATTTTGAATATTTATCGCTTGGTCCTCTAAAAGTTTAACACTGGAACTACCAGTAGTCAAATAGTAAAATTGACCAATTTTAAAATTGACAATATTTTTGTTAGAAATATTTATAGGTATAAAACAATGTGTTTTTACAGATTTAAAATATTTTCCGTAAAATCTACGAATCTATTGTATCATAAATTTCTTTCTTTTTTTTTTCTTTTTTTACTTCAATATTAATGTCTCTAGAAATATTTACAACAGAATTAGTATCACACGGTGATACCATGCGATTGTTGCCTTACCTTGCCCTGCATAATCAGGCGGATGGTCAGAGTGACCGAAGGGTCATCGTTCAAAACTGGTTTGGAATCCATACTGTCCATAATGGAGTCACAGATCCTGCGATGTCAGACGCGATGTCTTCTTGAGATTTGCGGAGGAAGGGGAAGGATAAGAGGCAGGATAAGGTGGGCAGGGGAAAGGTTAGGCAAGTGATTTTAATTGGAGGGGTGTTGGGACGTGTTTTCCAATCGCTCCAGGTGTATTCAGTCCTTGCACTGCAATCAGAACGTGTAAACTTGGATTAGTTAATTATTCAATCATCCTGTTACGTTCAAACGATTTACGACTATTGCACGACACGTTGCCCATATTCTTATAAATTTATAAACTATCATATCATTACCACATCTATATTACTACCATATTTTATTTAACATTATGTCGTTGCTATATTTTTATAAATTTATAAATTATATTATTATGAATAATATTTGTTCGTATCTTTTTTTTTATATTTCATTTAAATTACTTATGTATTTTTATTTTTACATAAATCTATGGCTATATTTTTATTTCTATTTAAATGTATGGCTATATTTTTGTTTTTATTTAAATCTATGGCTTTATTTTTATTTTTACTTAAATCTATAGCTATATTTTTTATTTTTATTTAAATCTATGGCTATATTTTTATTTCTATTTAAATCTATGGCTATATTTTTGTTTTTATTTAAATCTATGGCTATATTTTTATTTTTACTTAAATCTATGGCTATATTTTTTATTTTTACTTACATCTATGGCTATATTTTTTATTTTTATTTAAATTTATGGCTATATTTTTATTTTCATTTAAATCTATAGCTATATTTTTATTTTCATTTAAATCTATGGCTACATTTATTTTTATTTAAATCTATGGCTATATTTTTATTTTTACATACATCTATGGCTATATTTTTTATTTTTATTTAAATCTATGGCTTCTGAGTAACGCACGTGACAGAAAAATTACAATTGATTCATATAAAATTCATCGCGAGCCTTTGAAACAGAACGAACGAAGTTCACCCTGTTACACGAACGATTTTTTAAAATAATTTTCTAAGAGCAGTTTACCAGCATTTAAACAGATCATACCGATTTATGCCTTCTTATCTTTGAAAATGCTGATCTCATCCATCGACAAAGCAATAATCATCAAAGCAGCTGCTTTTGAATCCACCTTCTTGGAAAACCTTTATATAATCGAAAAAGATGAGGAGAATCCGATGAAAGGATTACAATTATTCAAATAGCGCTAGTGCGAAGCCTAGTGTCACCGTGTGCCTGGTTCTTCCAACGTTCTATCATCTTCGTTTTATCTGAATGCAAACAACAATTCAGCTGCAATTTGAAAAAAAAAAAAAAAAAAAAAAAAAAAAAAAAGAACGACACGCATAAGTTAGATAATCACGCGTGATTCGATCACAAGATCGATCGTTTTCGCGTGGAATCTCACGTCTATCTGAATCTTTCGTGCATATTATGCCTAATTAGACTGTCAATTTATATATTTATGGAAGATTCATTTGACATTCGTAAATAATTTGTTTCGTACATGTTGCACTTTACCGTGAAATAATTAATGAAATATCGAATACATTAAATTCGAGGCTCAAACTTCAAATTGATCGGTAAATGTCAATTAACCTTTAATTTAAAAGATTTCGAATAACTTTTAATACACAGCTGAGAAATCTGAATGTATCACTGTTCAAATAATTGTGATTTTTGTACCGATTTTTAGACTTGTTTCGAGTCTAAAAATAGATACAACAATCTCAATTATAATGCTAATAAAATGCTGTTACAATTACATCTTTTATATCGTACTGACTGATTTGTAAAAGATTGTTACCTTCGCAAGCAACTATCTACGAGTCATTTTTAACTCGAAGAATATTTTTTTCTTTTTACGACGTTCTGTTTGAACAAATGATAAATATAAAAAGAAAGTCTCTGACACGAGAGTGAAGACTGAAAGATCGAGATCTAAAGATTTCGAAGCTTGCAACGGAGTTGCGGTAGTTCACCGAAAGATCGATAAATTCCAATTATCCCAACTTTGATGAACTTTGAAAATGGCAGAGGGAGGAGGGGAGTTGTTGAAATGGATTTGCAAAACGCAACACAATACAAGAGACGGGGAACAAATGTATCTTAGCTCGGGAAAAGCCTCTTTTGTTAAAATAAAATATGTCTCAATCGTCGGTTACTCTATCGTTAAATGATTATCGATTACACGAAACGAAAAATGTAATCCACCATTTCCTCCAGTTCAAACGAAATGAAATATTTCAACGTACACTAATGTTTTCTAACCATCGAGCAAAATTAAAAATTGCTTCGACTCCAAACTCCAAAGAAATTCCAACTATTATTATATCGTGGTGTTTAATATAATAATATTTAACAAGCCGTGAGAATTTTACTCGCCTGTCAAATTTTAAATTCATAATAAAAACGCTCGCATTACTTGAACACTGATTTTCACCCGAGGGACGAAGAAAATCCCGTTTCAGATTGACGTTATTTTCAAGGCTCGTGCTATTTCACGAGCCTCTACGTGAACATGTATGTACGCGCATGTATATATCATTGGCTGTCTGTTCTTTGTTCGTTCTAACGAACCGCTTCCTCATTACGAGCACGTGTATAGAAGCCACTTAAATATAACTTTCTGTCACAAAGAAACCCTACGGCAACTGGACAGAAAAATATGTTCAATAATCGTGCGCTGCTTTTTGTACAAAGGTGGTGGGACACATCGTATCTTGGGAAAGGTATTTAACTGAATGAAGTTGTCGCGAGTAGAACTCCGTTTAATCAGCTAAATATTGTAACATATGTCTCTTTGCAATTCACATCTATTCTAAAGACTCTGTGTCCATTCTATTCTGAGATATGTGCGCGTGTGTGTGTGTTTATTCTCTTAAAAATACGTGTAGAAATTCACCAAGATCCGCAATTTATTTCAAAATATATTTATTTTCAGAAAATAGGCATTCTCTGACTTTTATTAATTTTAACTCGTAATTAAATATTATTAACTGGTTTGAACTGATGTAGTTTGTTTCAAGTGAAAACTATAACTACGATGATTTATAAAATGACTGCGTACATGTGTTTCATGTAGAAATTTACCAA